CAGCTAAAGGTGTACCCCAACTCTGTGCCTCCAGATTAAGTTCCTTTGCCAGCCTGAAACATTGTACAAGAGTCAAAAGCTTGTCTGATGGACTTCACCGTGCCTCTGTCCTAAGGCTCTTTGGAGGACTAAGCATGAAAGAGTTGTAAACACTCTGTGACTTACACCATGGTAGGCACCTGGCATTCCAGCTCTTCCTGAGATACCACCAATCAAAGAATTAAGCAGATCAGGACTGAGCCTAGCTCTGTTCTGTGCCAGCCGAGGTTGTTTCTCTTCCAGGTTGACATTGATCCATTCATTAATAAACAACATGTTCAACCACAATTAGATAGGTATGAATGCACACATATCCTCTATTTTGTCTCCAGGGATATCACAAGATGGATCTTCAAAGACCTTACTGAAAACCTTGTCTATTTCATTTCCTGTTCTCCCAGTTAAATGGCCTAGCTTGCCCAAGAGGCAGAAGATTTAATTATGTGACTTTTTTCTAATTACCTATTCTAGAACCCCACACTGTTTTTCACAACTGTTAATAGTTCCCAGGAGCCATTATTTGTTTTAAATTTAGTTTTATTGTGTTTACTTTTGGCAAACTCTAGCTCCAAATCAAAATTCAGCCCATTGGAATCTGTCTTCTCTACATTAGGATTAAGAGAAGCTAAGAGAGGAGAGCAGATAGACTAAACGTGCATTTTTTATTTGAGTTTGCGCTGAAATTTTTTTTGTTTTAATTAATAGCTTGACTTTTAGTGGCAATAATCAGAAAATAACTAAGAAATTTGGAATCCCGGGGCCTATTTTACAACTTTCATACTAACAATTTAGCGCCATCTAGAAACAAACATTATTTATTGCCAGGTGAGGAAATAAAATCATAAATCTTCAAGGGTCAGCAACATAGAGGTACTAATTGCTCCTTTTAGCCTGTCTTTTCCAAGAAAGAGCTATTCCACTTGCAAGTTAATCATTCCACAAACTATTAAAATTTTCAAGATGGAGTAATTGAGGCACAGTTAGTGGTAGAACTGGAATTTGAATGTAGTGCACCTGATTCTTGAGCATATACAACGTTTTAACCACTAAGATATATGAAACTTCCCATTTTGTTTCTATATTCTATCAAAAGGAATGACACTTGAAATATCACTGGTAGAATGACATCTGTATGAGGAAATGGAAGACTAAGAGGGAAGAGGTGATTGATTATAAGAAACAAATAACACAATCCAGAATACTGACAGAATATAGAGAGGATTACTAAACATGTCTGCAATTTTAAGGCGTTGTGGAGAAGAGAGATTGAAAGACTGGAGATGGGCAGTTTCTCCAGAAGGTAAGATACTGACAGCCAATGTAGGCATCATTTTTAATGATGTGAAAATGCTGATCCTTAGTACCAGTATGGGTTCACTACAAAAAAGTAGGGTCAGCCCTGCCCCATTTCTTAACAGACCTGGATCTCAACAAGGCCTTGTCAGCATATCCCTGGGGACATGATAAATAAATACAGCTAGATGCAAAATTAGTTGTTTTCATGGAGGTCCATATGACCTCACCAGAATGTTCTGATGATTGTCAACTTGGAGAGAATCTGAGTGGCAAAATCCATGACTTGGCTTCAATTTTTTTTGGTGGGGGCAGACATAACCCCCAGTGAGACTCTAGGGCAGCCATATCAAGATTGAATCTGGGATTGAACTCAGCTCTATTTTGTATTTAATTTAGAGAAAAGGTCTCACTCAGTTGCTTAGCTTCACTGTTGCTGAGGCTGGCTTTGAACTCAATGAGATCCTCCTGCCTCAGCCTCCCAAGTCACTGGGATTGGCTTCAATTCTTTGGTAGCACTTTTATTCACTGTTTGGGCAAAAAAATCTCATGTCTCAGTCAATACGGTGTACAGATTTCAAGTGGAGAGGTACAGACAAAATTTTGGATGACTAAACTGCAGGATCCCCAAACAGTGTAACAGTCTGGGTCACTGGGCTGACTTGAATGAAAGATGACTGAATAGGAATGAATTTGAGGCTCTTCGTCCCAAAGAATCTGTCATCTTCTCCCAGGCTGAGGAGTGACTGGGCAGCCTGGGCAAGACTTTCCCCCATTCCCCCACCCGAAAAACACAGATTTATTCAGAGAAGCAGTTACATATCCAAGGAAAAATATGGGCTATCTCAGGGGAAAGACATCTTTTGGGGTAAAGTAAAAAGTACCCATTCAAGGGAGAATGACCAGTTATCTTGAGAATGAGAAACTTTTGGGGTAAAGCAAGGAATATTCATTCAGGGGAGAATGTAGGCCACCTCCAGAAGCAGACACAGCCCCCAGTGAGACTCTAGGGCAGCCATATCAGGAAAAATTTAATGTGAACATATATGTAACTTAACATTTTTTAGTAGCCACATTTTAAAAAGTAAAAAACAAACAAAATCTTAGGTGAATTTTCATAATGTATTTTATTTTTAATAATTTGTTTTGTCAAATATACCCCCAATACAACTATTTTACCAAGTAATCAATAAAAAACGTTGAGATAGTGTAAAACAGAATGTAAGCTAAGTCTTCAAAATCCAGTTTGTATTTTAAAGCATCTTTTGTAAGTGCTTATGGCCACCTATGGCTACTGTATGGGATAGAGTAACTTCACTGATGCTCAGTCTGCAGGAAGATTACCCTCAAGTTGTGTTGTTCTTACACTGCTGATTAATAGAGGGGCTGTACTTATACCATTAGGAATTTTTTTTTTTAATAATGAGAAAGGGTCCAGGTTCTTTGACGTATGAAATCTCTATGGAAGCTGGGCTGGTGGTGGTGTTCACTGCCTATGATCTGTATCCAAGCCTGGCTCATGAATACTGGGACAATTTCAGTGATTGAAATATTGAAATTTTGAGAGTGACCACTTAGCAAATGAATTGTTCTACTCTTATCTCTGAGTCTTTGGATGTTCAGTTGCCACTAGAGCAAGTAGCAGCTTATCTTTTTTCAAGGAATAAAATAAAATTATGTTTCCATTTCCATTTTTAAGATCCAATTGAACTTTCAAATGCCATGTCCTGTTCTTTTCCCAAAACTGATTTCTGAGATTCACTTCCACTCAGGTCAGAAATCTGGCAATTTAGACAGCAGCAAATGAAGCTGAAGAGTAGCTAAAAAACATAGTGGGTCAATAAAATATCTGAATTGTCAAAATGGATGCTGAAAATACACAAAAGTTCGAACTGAAAAAAAAGTCATTCTTCATTATCTTCCTTTTGCAGATGAGAAAACAGAGGTCCAGAGAGGTTAATTGGCTTCCCTATGTCACAGAGATTAAGTCTGATTCCATGTCAACTATCTCTTTTCTCTTTTTGCATAGCCCCTTGGAATGACATTTTTCCTTGCAGGTCTKAAGACACTATTTTATTTTCCTACCATCATTATCTAGATCCTTCTACAGTGTTTCTCCTCTTATGAATCCATCACAGTTAAATACATTCTCTGGAGCAGGTTGCCTGGGTTCAAATTCAGGTTCCAAAACTTCTAAATTGTGGGATATAACTCAGGTTCCTCATCCATAAGTTGGGGATAAAAAACAAAAACAAAACAAAACCTCATCCATGTTTAAAGATAAGGCACTTGGAATAGAACCTTGCTATTATCTATTTTCAATAAGTAATTTTTACTCAAAGAATAAAAGAACAAGTTTTCAGCCCAATTGCATTCTGTAATTCACCAGAGCTTCTGGCTTGAACAGAATTTACATATTGACCACCTACCTCCTAGGCTTGGAGGCCCCCTCTGACCTCTTGAGACAGGTATCTTTAGTCTACTTGGTGGGATCATGCTGTCTTAGGGTCCACTGCTCCATCTTGGGCAAGCACTAACTTCTTTAAGACAATTACACAGACAATATGGAGCCTGGTTTCATGATCCTCCTATCATTCCCACCACCTGTCACTATGATTGACTACAAGAAAGTCTATGGAACTTGATATAAATCTTTCCAAATTACAGTGGGCCTGAGATATAACACTTAAAGTGAACTGAAGCTAAATCCAATGAGTTCTTCTTAAATATAGCAGTCTAGACCATGGATAAAGAGAAAAAGTCCTTTTAACATTCTTTTTTGTAAGATGGAACATTATCTCTATGGGATCTTTCTAGCCCTGACTAGTAACTCCAACTCTCAGAATCTTGACTGACTTCATCTTGGAAAAAAAACGGGGATTAGCAATTGCAAATAAAGACCAAGAGTTTTTCTAGGCTATGTTAGGAGAAGTGTTGATGAATATTTCTGAGAAATGTTCAACTACAGGAAGTTCAATATGTAATCTTAAATGTACAAAAATTCACTCAACTTACATAGTATTTATGTGGTTTCATTTGATTTCTAAGTTTCTTTCAAACAGTGGTATTGACTGCTGTGGAACCAAATGCAGGGATGCTGTGCAACTCCAGTGACAGTTGGACCCCTCCCGAATATAACAGCAATTGTCCAACAGCAATGAAACATTTACCAGCAGAGGCAAAAGGTCCAGAGTACATGAAAAGTAGAGCATTATGTGACTGTACAAAGTAAAAAAGCAAATGAGGGTCAAAAGCCAAAGGTACTCAAGTCACATGCCATTTGAATCGGGTGCTACTGGAAGAAACAAATGTAATTTACAACTCTACTTTCTAAATTCATTTTCTAGAGCCAGTATAATCATGGGTTTAACTGAGATTACGTACATGAAAAGTGCTTTCTAACAGTAAAATATCTATATCAGATTTTATTGTTCCCAAATAAAATGAGAGGAAATATATTTTTCCAGACAATTAGATCTTCATATAATCTTGATTCATATATCCTAGTCCCTAAGCTTGTTTTTTTAAGCTCTTTGCTACAAGATTCCATGTGTGTTTCATGGGGCATGGGAATTGGATTACACCAGTCTTTTGCATGCTTGTGTGTTCTTCTTGCCTAATGGGAAAACAACCCGACTAACTAACTCACAGGAGAAAAGAAACAGGAGTCAAGAAAAAAATAACAACAAGATGTATTTAAAAACAGACTTTTCCAGTTGGCATTTTGAATGAAATAACTAACAATTATCTCCAACCCTTTTTATTTGCTTGCTCCTGGAGTCCTCTTGAAGCTTTAATTCTTGAAACTCAGGTGGCAGCACCAGACATTGTATTCCCAAAGGGAGAGGTATTAGTTAACCTTTTGCTGGTCATTCTTGTCTGAATGCAAATGGACAAACTCAAGCCCTCTTATTCATATCATGACGGTTATTAGGAAAAAAATTAAGTCAAACTTGCATATTGAAAATAAAAATAAAAACACACAAAAAACCCCCTGCAGATAATAAATATCGCCGATTCACTTATATTCAACAAAGTCCAATTTTATTCACTCTTAATATCCTTGCAGTCCATTGTATACCTTCTGCACTGATCCTTGTTTCAGTAGCTGTTTGATACCTAAAAAAAAAAAAAGAAAAGAAAAAGAACACATGACAACCTTAACAAACATGTGACTTTCCCAGAGTTTAAACAGCATGTATCATGGGGAGGCCCACAAACCCCAGGAAATCAAAAAGGAGGTAATCAAAAGGGAAAGAAAACTCTCCAGCTAAGTTTTTCATTTCTTCTCTGTTCTCAATTTTTACCATTTTTTTTTTTACCACTTTTATTATTTAACAACACCAAACTAGGCCCTTTTCAGCCAGTTATCACAGTCATTTCTAAGCTTCTCATCTTCTTATAATACATGGCTTCCCTTTTACAGTTTGGTCTAGCTCATTCGTTTTTAGGTCTGCTTCACTCCTGAACATACTGGGTTTCAAAGCATGCTCATACAACCTTTAACACACTTACCACAGGACTTTTATTATTGCATTGACAGAGAAACACGAGTTTGTTCATTCCTATACTTGTATTCCACTATTATTAATGGCTGATACATTATGCCACTGGAGGGTTTTTATGGTCACTATACTCTCATATACATAACACACAGACACAGATGTGCAAAGGCATACACACACACACAAACACACACACACTTATTACACTCCATACCTTCTCTTGCTTCCTCTGTTAATTGTTTTGGAAAATCCACATCAAATGTGATTATTAAAGAGCCCTTGATATTGTTGTTGTCAAAGTTAGGGAGCCCTTCCCCCTTTTTCCATAGCTTGGCTCCTGGCCTGGTGATCTTATCCCGGGAAATATGTACCTAAAAAGTAAAAGGGAATGTAGTGAAGCAGGACTGACACACCCAAAGTACATCACACAGCTCTAGTGAGCAGTGGTACACAAAGCTAATATCACAGCTCAAAGAAAGGATGAGGGGCAACATCATTAAGATAAAAGTACAAAAAAAAAAAAAAGGTTTTAAAAAACACAAAGTAAAATCAAACACATAAGCCAGTTTAAAGAAATAATAATAAGATTTTGCCAATGGAAACTTGGAAACTCTAAGAACAAGGCTGTGTAATCAATTCTGAGCAGCAAAAGGCCTGTGGCACTGTTATTGCTGAACATTCAGCAGCAGAATAAGGAGAGAAGGCAGAAGTCCCTGTGGTTCTCTATAAGTGAAGTGACTGAAATAATCTAAAATCACCCACATAAAGGCTTTAAAAAGAAGCAAAATTGCTTTGTTTACCTTGTGACCATCCAAGTGAGTAATATCCATCTCAAAGCCGACTAGAGACTCAACTAGTGAGATTGTCACATTTGTGTACAAATCATCTCCTCTCCTTTCAAATATCCGGTGCCTAAAAACAGAGTAAGATAAAGAATAATTAATTTCCATATGTATTTAGGAAGAGTTCAAAAGTTGCTAGAAAGATCTTGATTCTTTCAAACAATGAGCACTTATTAGTCACACTTTTGTGTAAAGCATTAACTGAGATAACAAAACTATATAAGTCTTATTAAACCTTATTCTTAAAGAGTTTACAATCAGCAGAAGCCAATATATATATATATGGAAAACTATCAGTTCTTAGGTTATGGAAAAGAGAGAAAGATGTTTGGTAGCAGGGGCTAAGAGATGGGCTTCAGAAACACGTTTGTGGAGGTTTCCTGAGCTGGGTTCACAAGACCAAGGGGGCTCCAGATGCAGATGAGGCCAGTGCAGGAAAAGGGGGAACAGGCTAGAGGGAATTCTGGCAAAGACAAGGACTTGAGAAGGTACCAGGTTTATTCAGGGAATAGCCCATGTTCCAATTTCTTAGGAAGTGATGAAAAAGACAAGGTAAGTAAGAAAAGCTGGGAAAAAATAATCACTGAACATAAAGAGTGCATAGACAGACTGTTTCCCCATGTTCAAGTGGGAATCCTGTTTCAAATAATTCTTACATGAAGAAGTATCCAACTGGTAACAAGAGAGAAATAATCAACAAGAAAGCACAAGTCCTGGACAAAATGACTGTCTCCAGAGCCTTTCTAAACAGAGAAGCTGAATATTATATAATAGAAGTTCCTTCCTATGGAGAAACCTCCCATTCTTGAATGGTACAGCTAAAATCACAGCTTACCTTGGTTCCCTATTCCTGTATGCCTCTCTTTTATAGCTCCTTTTCTCTATTCCTCCTTTCCAGTGTCTTTTGGATTTTTAATGTCCTAAGTGAATATACAACTGAAGCTCAAATCCCAGGGCCCAATCCCAAATTTTCAGGATTATTGAATAATTACAAATAATCACTTGTGGTATTATGGGCATGAAACAGAGGAAAAAATCTTGAGGCATTATCTCTATCATCTGTTGTACCTGAGAAGCATAGGTTGAAAAGATGGCCTCTAAAATTCGATCACTTACTTGACAACTTTGATTCGGAAGCGTAAGTCTCCAGGCTCACCATCCACATGAGGCTCACCTGGTCAGGGCAGATTACAGAAGGTTATAGAATACAGGAAGTCACACAAGTATAAGACTACAAATCTACTGGACAGTTGAGAGGAATTTTTAAAACCACTACCTAAGGCACTGGGTCTATCAAGTCTGTTTGGGCACAGTCTCAGCCTGGTTATATCAAGTTTCAGGTCATTAGTGAAGATCACCTGTGCTTCAGGCACAGCAATAAATAACTTGACCTAATTCCTAAACAAAGAATGATTCACCAATTTTCTGAACCTGGAGTCAGTCTTAAAGCTTTATTTCCTTTTAGAATTTTAAGTTTAAGTCCAAAAGTGAGCTTGGAGAACACATAATTAATGTCCCATTAGACATATATATCCTCTTTCATTGTTGAGTTAAAATTAATCTATTTATTGAGGCCTGGCCACCCTAAATTTTGATAAAACTTAGACTATCTGACAGTAAGTTTTGGCCTTAATAGTCAAAGGATAATCAGTAATGCTAATGCTTCTATGACTAAGCATGCTGGTAATAAAAGGCTTTCTATATCCTAAAACTGGCTGAAGAGTATTAGCAATTATACATTCATTTACCATGCATTCACTAAGAGATGAGCTGAGGTAGAAGTGAGAGGTATTCATAAGAAGAGAATAGAGTTAGGATAATAAAAACATTAATATTTCACCTTCTCCAATAAAGGGGTACTCCATGCCATCTCTCACTCCAGGTTCTATTTCTACTTCCAGCGTTCGTTCTTCATTCACTAATCTGGGACAAAGGAATTAAAAAAGGAAAAGAAAATGAAAATACAAATGTAACCCCCAACATAGATAAAGTTTTATCCATTTTATCAGAGCTTTTTCTGACTATCAGTGTATTTTTCTGATTATTAGTATACCTCTACTTCACAAAGCTCTCTCAGATCTGTTTATATCTTCTTCATGACAAAATTCAGGGCAAAGCCACTGTGTATTACATAAACATATAAGACTGCTCTACTAGTCCAAGAAGAAAGGAAACATTAACATTTATTAAGTATCTTTGGAAATAAAGGGCATTGCTTATTAGTTCAGAAACAAAAAGGATATATATAGAAAAAATATTTCAGGAAAAATTTTAAAACGTACATTTATTTGCTCTATCCTTTGGTGAAACATTGATGGAAGAGGAAGGGAGTTAAATATGGACAATGAAATTTTTATTAGACAAATGAGATTATCCAAGTGTTTCTTGGTGGAACCATAGAGGTGATTTCACTTACTTAACATTAGGGCACTCATCGCAGACTACCTCTTGGGTCATCTGGAAGCGACCTGGGCCCAGCTGGGTGGTCCGCATTTCTTGCCGACAGTTGCATTTCCGTTTGCCAGGAGCCTGCCTTGCCACAGGTTTATTTCTAACTACCTAAGAAATGCATGAAACAGCCTTTAGTTTCCTTAATGAATTAGGACTCTACTCACATCTGTATTGGAATTTCCCCTTCTCTGGCAAGCTACCGATCAGGGAAACCTAAAGCTGACAGAAACCTTTGAAGAGTACAAATCAGCCCTCAAACAGGAATGAAGTAAACATATACTTAAATGACTAAAATTCTTTAGTTGGAAAAGAGAAGGAAGTAAAAAAGAAGAGAACTGAAATAAAGGTATATGACATCAGCATTAGAATTGTAAGCCACAACTAAGTGATACTGAGCTAAAGTGTTCATAGATTTTACTATCTCTTAAGAAATCTGAGTTGTGTAAAGCATAACCCTGAAGAACAACCACGGCATTCAGAAGCTGCTGTGTTTACCATCTAAACCTATGATTAAACTAATGAAAATGCCTCCTTGTTTTAGGCAATTCAATCCAGGACTACTTTCCATTGCTACCTTTGTTCAGACACATTACCATTCCAGGAAGAAACAATGATCATCTCTTTGTAGTTGACTGCAATCAAATATCTGACCCACCAAGTATGTGAAATTAATATGTATTAAGAAAAGTAATCTTGTTTTTGCCTAATCACAAGGTAACAACTCATGCAGCAGATTGACAAAAATGCCTGGAGTAAAACCCCTAACAGCCTATGTATATAAAAACCCAAGTCAACAGGATAAATTACAGCCAACAACAATATAATAATCAAAGCAAACACTTTATAGCAAACCTGTCCAGGAATACTCTAAACACTTTTGCACATTCACATATTCACTTAATCCTCACAACCTTACAAGGCAGGTCATATCATTATCTTCATATTACAGGTGAGGTAAAGGTAGCACATAAAAGTGAAGTAAAAGGACCCAGGCCACATAACTAATATATGGCAGAACTAAAGTGGGAAGGTAGGCAGTCAAGCTGTAAAGTCCATTCCAGAGTTTTGAAAAAGATGAATAACCTCAAATAAAAGATCTCAAAGTTCACTAGGAAATACAGAACAGTATTTTTTTCATTTTAGAGCAGAATTTCTTACGTAAAATGCAAAGACTAACCATAAAAGACTGATAAGATTTGAATGTCTTAAAAGTAATACTTTTGCTCATTGAAATAAATCTTAAATATAATGCAAAGATAAGTTACAAATTGATGGGATACATTTATATCATATGTAGCTGATAAAGAATTAGCAGAAAGAATAAAGTATTCTTAGAAATCAAAGAAAAGGGCCAAAGACATGAACAGATATTTCATAAGATAAGAAACAAACATGGCCTATAAATATGAAGGGACACTGGTAATCAATAAAACACAAATCAAGACCATGATGAGATAACATTTTATTCCTATTTGAAGGACAAAATTAAGAAGTCTAATAATTCCATTTATTAGAGTTAGTAAATCTACAAATTCTCATAAATGGTACAAGTGTTGACACAAACAATATCAAAACCAATATGGCATTATTTCATAAAACATGAACACTGGTCCCTATTACCCAGCAATTCTATTTAAGTATTACCTACCAAGAGATATTCTGCTCATGTGTACCTAGAATATGTACAAGAGTGTAGCACTGTCTGAAACTGAAAAGAATCTGGGAAAAAACTAACACCTGTAGATAAATTGAGGTCATAATAAAATTTTATTCAGTGGGATTATACTCTAAGCAACAACAAGGGTGAGTCCTAGTAACATAATAGCAGAAAAGTCAGCCCCCAAAGATAATAACTGCTATATCATTTTTACAAACTCAAAAACAATAAATAATACATCATTCATTTGTTTAATAAAACAAATGAGAAAGGCAAAACGACCAAAAAAGACAAAATTCAGGTAACAAATTACCTATAAAGGGAGGCAAGAGGATGGAATAGGAAGTAGCATGTGGGCAGAATAAGTCCTGGTATGGTTTTATTTAGTTCCAAGTCTAAGCAATCTTGAGTTTATTAAAAAAAATGACAACTGCATCATGAACCAAAGATTCTGATTAATTCAATTTCAGTCACTCTCCCTCATTCTCTAAAAGAGCAGGTACTCTGAAACCTCTACTTTTTAGTCAAAAATTCAAGTTCTAGAAATAAATATGAATAGCCATATTGTTTAAACTTACTTCCACAAAATTTCCAGCATATACTTCTTCCAAAGTGACTTCTAGATCTACGATAATATCACTTCCTCTTGGAATATTTCTGTCTTGCTGGCGAGGAGTTCCTCCAAACATGAAACCAAAATCTCCAAAAAAGCTGTAGATAAGTGTGAAATCATCAGAAAAGAAATATGAGTTTGTTATAATTATTTAGTTTTCTTTCAAATTTATAAAGCAATGCTTCCTATCAATACAATGTACAAAAGTCAAAGACATTTTCCACATATTGAAGTCATATCATACACAATTAAAATTTATATACTATCAACTACATTGTAACTATATCGATGCCCACAAGAAAAAAAAATACTTTTAAAAGTAATATGGTCCATACAAATAGTATAGCATATACACATAGTATATGCCAATGAAGTCAATGTTGGACTCAATGAAATAATATTTTGATACTAAGGAAAATCCAGCCATAGTGAACTTATTGAGAAAGGGTATAGTATAGATAATGCTGTATAAAGCTGAGCTTAATGGTAAACTTATTTTTAAGGGTAATTTTGAACATACATAATGTTCACTTTATGTGCTTTTTAGCAGTTAACCTTGATGAAAGAAGCTACTACTGTGTACCAAAATCCTGGGCACATATTTAAATAAACTAAAAAAGCATCAGCTTAATAAAATTCTAATCCTTAAGGAAAAGTAATTTCTGGCCTCTACAAGATCAAAATTAACTTTTGTAAATAAAAAAAAGAATCATCTGCAATTAAAAAAAACAGTGACCTTAATTTGTGCAGGTATTCTAATATTAATGTTGATCTCTGGTGTAATTAAGAGGCTTCAGATATTGGTATGACAACTATATAATCCCCTCTTCCACCAAACAATCTTGGTGAATGTATTTCTCAATGTTAAAAGCAAGGAGGTAAGATGGGGTGGAAGTACAGGAAGTCTTTTCTCTTCCAGACATTTCTAGGGAGTACTTTATTGTTTTGTTTTTGTTTTTTGGAATTGGGGGTTGAGCCCATGGGAGCTTTACCATAGAGCTACATTTCCAGACTTTTTTATTTTTTATTTTGAGACAATCTCTTGCTAAGTTGCTGAGGCTGGACTTGATCTTGCCATCTTCCTGCCTGAGCCTTCCAAATTGCTGGGATTACAGGTATGCCCTAGATAGCACTTTGAAAAGCCAAGGAGAATAGACACTTTTCTGATAGGCCAAAGCAGCTAAATTAATCCTAGAGAAGAGGAAGATTTCCCAATCATTAACTCACACATTTTCAGAAGTCCTAAATATCTACCATCACCCTTAAATACTAAATGGGGAAAACTACTGTATGCAATACCGATTCTTACTTTAAGAATCTAAGAAACTCTCTCCCCATAAAAATGCAGATTTAAATATCTTTTTATTTATAAAAGCTTCAGACCTGAACTCCAGGTGAGATCTACTACACAGAATTATGATATTTGGAGATTCACATATCAATAATGTGGGCTCCAAAAGGAAGAGGGGTTTATCATTCTAGCTACCCAGCACTCCTAGATAGCCATGTGCAGCAGGAGATTAAGAACTTCTACTTAATTCCTTCCCCAATGGTGGTTATCAAAACTACCTATTCTTGTTGATGGGATGAAAGAGAGGTAGCTCTGGATATAAGAACAGAATTTTTTTTTTCTCTTCTGTGCTTAAAAGAATAATTTAGCTCATTAAGTCACTAAGTGATCCATTATTGGACACTAATCCTTTGCAGGTGGGTACATTACTTACTGCGAAAAAATGTCTCCATGGGAGCTCTGATGACCATCTTTCAATCCTTCTTCACCATATGTATCATATTGTTTCCGTTTTTCACTATCTGACAGAACCTAGGATAAAAGTAGAGGAAAAAGCCATACTTGGTAATATTCAGCTAAGGTACATTCATATTTATGTTTGTTTTTTTCACTCTGATACTATGTTTAAGATTTCAGGGGAATGTAATTTTCATTGTGTATGGTATTAAAAATTTTTATAAAGTTATTTTTTTCTAACAGACTAAATTCTTTGGTGAATTTTCCATTTCACATTGCTTACTTCATGTTTTTAATTTAGCATTATCAAACCTCACCTAATTACTTAAAATTTATACTTGAATGATATGGCTGTGAAGGTTGGGGAAGTACCAGGAAAGAGGTGAGATGGACTGCTCAGGTTTACTTTCTGTGTTGTTTAAAGCCAGTGCTTATGCTATTAACTACTATGCTATATTTTCTCTCCAAACCATAAACTAGAATATGACTATGACAGACTATCATCAGTGATAGAAGCACTAAATTAGGACAGTCTTAATAGTTGGGCCTCACATGTCTATGCCTCCCAATATACACACATTAGGAGATTGGCAAGTCAAGGGAATAGAATAATAGGCCCTTCAGTAAGATTTATACTGCTTTATTTTTCAAGTTTGGTATATGAAGAAATCCATTTGTGAAAGAACTCTATCTGCCATATAGTCAATTTCACTGCTTAAAAAGAAATTTGTAAGTTTTAGTTTAGAGAGGTTTATGCTTTCTCATTGAACCCACTCTGTGTGATAACAAAGAATATAAAGAAAAATAACTCTTATACTTTCAAATTTGCATGTTAACAAAAAGAAAAATAAAGCTTCCATTTTAGTCACAGCAACACATATACCTTTGGAAATTAAACAGCTTTAAGATATTCCTTTGTTATGTATAAACTCCCACTTAGACAAGAGACTAAAGGAGAAACAAAGGAGAAAATTATTTCAAACCCTGATTGACATATTCAAATAACACACTTTGGGCTCAGTGTCCGAAAGATGTGGAAGGAGCCACAGCAAACATTTACTAACATTGAAGACATATTTAGAAGGATACATATATTAAATGTAAAAGAGAATGAGCATTCTTAAAAGCAAAGAGAAATGGGTTAGTCCAGAAGTAACCACAGCAGCACTATGATAAAGCCGCTATAACAGATCAGGTAAGAGAAAGAAATGTTTTGGCAAAAATCCTTAGAAAACAGGTACTTTAAGGCAGGTGTGGTGGTAGTTCTAGCTACTTAGGTGGCTGAGGCAGAATGATACCAAATTCAAGGCCAGCCTGGGTATTTGAACAAGACCCTGCCTCTAAATAAATAAATAGCTCTGGGATATAGGTCAGTGGTAGAGTACTTGCCTAGCATGTGCAAGGCGCTGGGTTTAATCCCTAGTATTGTGAGCGGGGTGGGGTGTGGGGGGGAGAATAAATACTCTGAAGAAGAAGAAATGGACAGAGTTAACCTGAAACAAACTTATTATTCCACAATCTGGATTCCCAATATTTTCATCTTTAGTCTACACTGCTAATCTTATCTAGATAAAGAAACAAACCCTGCACAATGATTGGCTTTAAGTAAGTTTCTTTTTGGATACCAGAGGCTTCTATAACCCCCCCCCCCCCCAAAAAAAAACACTACCTGTAAAGTTGTCATTCACTTCTTCCTCACTTTTCTTCTAAGGAATGCAATTTATTTAATAGTCTCAGAAATTATTTTACTTATTTTTATTTTTTATTAAGTCAAGGTCTCACTAGTTACTCAGGCTGACCTGACCACTGGGCTTAAAGAATCCTTAGCCTTCCTCGTAGCTGGGTCTATAGGAAGATGCTACCATATCCAGCCTCTTTTTTTTTTTAAAGTGTGTGTGKGGGGGGGCGGTCCAGAGATTGGCCAACCAACATGCAGATTCTCAACTAATTAAAAAGCCAGAAATATTCCCAGGTCAGTAGGGAAAGCAAATTGGTATTCATAGAACTCTTTGTAGTGTACTGAGATTTTGGTTAATGAACACTCAATCAAGCTTGAATGGTACAAAGGAAAAAAAAAATCTGAACTAGTAACTAGAGAGATTATAGAATTATAATAAACTGCAATTTCATGAATGATACATGCATAGCCTGCCTAGGTCATGAATAAAGACCATGATAGATTGTATATAGGGTTCTTAGCAAACAATGGAACTAGAAAATATAGTATAAAATATGGACTCATAAATAATAAAATGTTACATACAATTTAAGAGGGGTCATAAGCCCTCTCAAATTTATCTATAGACCTCAGGTTAAGAATTTCTGTTGTGTAGGATCACTGAAGTTACGGGGAGAAGAAAGGGAGACCCCAGTAGCTCTAGGGTTCATATGGTATAAGACGATTTCAGTTCAGTAGATTTTTTTAATCTAGGAGGATTAAAAAAAAATTTATTTTGAGATCCTTATTAAAAAAAAATCATATTACTTTCCAGCCTTTTCAATATGCAGGGTTTTAAACTTGAATTCAGAAAATTTCACTCTACGACTTTTAGAATTTAATTAATTTTTTCTGTGCCTTTTAGGAAATGGGAATAAAAATTTGTCTAGCTCTACTATATTTCACAGTATCCTTGGGAAGATTGACATTACCCTTGCAAGTGTTTTGACCTCTAGATTTGCCTGTAAATTCAAACTATACCCATGTTTTGTTTAATCTACAAAATAAAGAAATTTAATTAGTTACCAAAACTTTTAAAATAAGGAGAATTTATATAAAAATGTAGATTTCCAACTTCTCTTGAAAAATCAGTAGATCTGGCAAGATAATATTTGCATTTGTTTATGGCAAAAACTGACTGGGGTTCAGTCACATCTGCTCCACTGAAAGAAGAGCCAGAGGCTTCAGTTAATAACAATCTTCATCAGTCTGCATTAATTCCCAAGGAATGAAGGCAGAATATCCATTGTTATGTTTTATCTTACACCTCTGCCTGTTATTTGTCTTGTCCCTATGAGCATGTTAGGTTGCAATCCTCATTTAGGTTTTCTTTGTGTTTCTAGCTCAATTTCCCTAACTGATAGATTGATAGATCAATCAGTTAATCTATTATATGATCTCTCAATCATACTTTCATTCATTTTTTTCAAGATTAATCCCCTCATTAAAATAATATTAAAAAGATAGGAAATGACATCTACTAATAAGAATGTAATATCTAGTACAGCATAGCACCAAGTATTATTTTTACTTTTATCTATATGTTTCTAAATAGAAGTAACCTAAATGAAGCGTTTCTCTGTGTTATATGGTCTTTTCTATATCCATAGCTTTTGTTTATACTTATCTTTTTTCTTGACTTACCTCATAAGCAGCACCCAGGTCCTGGAATTTCTCCTGGGCTTGGGGATCATCAGGGTTCCGGTCAGGATGAAGCTGCAGGGCTAGTTTCCTGTAGGCCTTCTTAATATCCTTTATAGAGGCACTTCGAGGTACCCCCAGGATCTTATAGAAATCTCGCCTGGGAAGGAACAGAGAAAATACATCATTAAAAAGATTTATATATTATATTTTTAAAAGTGAAAGGTTTTTTACCCCTTTTCATTTAGGTCTGTGTCTAATCAAAGAAATACAAAATGAAATAAAAAAGAAATACAAAAAAATAAAGATGTGCATGCATGTTTCACATATACCTTCATTTTTTATTAGAAAATGGGAATAAAACACACACACACACACACAGACTTGTGCTGGTTATTGAACTCAGGAGCGCTTAACCACTGATTCACATTCTTAGCTCTTAGCATTTTCTGAGACAGGGTCTTGCTAAGTTGACTAGGGCTTTAGCAAGTTGCTGAGGCTGGCCTGGAACTTGTGATCCTCCTGCTTCAGCCTCCCAAGTCACTGGAATTGTAGGCATGTGCCACCACACCTGGCTGTAACCTTCTTTACAACTACCTTCCTTCAGGAAACTATTTTCTTATTTTATGGTCACATGTCATTTCTGGGTAATAACACCATAAAATGCAATTAACTCTCCCCCTTTTCCCTTTCTGGTTCCAGATGACTACTGACTGTTTCCAAAGGTCAAATATCAATCTCAAAGGATGGTTTTCTTTATTTAAAAAGATAATGTGACATAAATGTCCTAATAGAAACACTTACAAATGTTAAAGAGAAAATGACTGAAGTGAAATTTAGAGGTTAAAATAAAGGTTAAGTCAAAGCCCAAAAGCAACTCTAAAGACAAAATAAAACCCATCTGGATATAGTATTTTTTGCTGAAAGAGAAAAATATGAAACTTATACTCATTTTCAGTAGTTTTCATGTAAAAATGGGAACAGCTCAGAAAAATGTAGGGAGAAAATGGCTAGCTTAGCTCAGCATCAACATTACTCTAAGAGACTATTTTATGACTTAAATTTATACCTACAAGATTTAAAATATTTAATATTAGCATTTTATTAAACACTCTAGAGTACTTGTAGCTTTATATGTAAATATTACAAAGAAAAGTATAGTTAAAAAAACCAATAAAGCATTATCTAGGAGAAGTTAATTTTTTAGAAATTTAAGATGTTTCACAAGAAAAAATGACAACAAAGCTTAAACTTACATGCAAAGGGTAAAAAAACTTGTGTAAGAAATTCTTAAATTTTAAAACTATGCTAGGTAGTACCTTCCCCATTCAGAAAAACCTATAAATTGTTGGAAAATGAGACCTACTATTTTTTGCATTGTAAAATATGGGCTGGGGTTGTGGCTCAAGTGGTAGAGAGCTCGCCTAGCACGGGTAAGGCACTGGGTTCAATCCTCAGCATCACATAAAATATATTGTATCCACCTAAAACTAAAAAATAAATACAAAAAAAAATAAATTTAATAAAATAAGAGCCTGGTGTACTATATCTTGGGTTTCCAGGAGTATAGGATCATGAATGTTAAAGGGCTGACTGGATCCTTAAGAGTCCATCTGCATAAGGATGGCACAATACTACTTTCATGTTACAGATGAGAATATCTAAATTTCTTTCAAGGTTACAAAATTCATAAATAGAGTGGCTAAAACCCCAGCTTACTATCTGTTGGCGAACTGTTCTTCTCACTCACACTATTTGAATTCTCAAGATGGTACCATGGAGAGAGACAGTGAGGCACGACAGCCTTGTCTCAGTAAAGAAGCTGGGAAGTTCAAGAGCTCTCTAAAAGGTCTTGCTGCTTCCCAATTCAATTTTCTTCAGTCCCGGGTTTGCTTCCCTACCTGAGATCCTCACTCTGACTGGTGTCACAGCACACCCACTTTAATGTCAGCTCTTCAATGGCTTGCCCGGATTCAGCATTGCACCATGTTCTGCTTCAACTCAGGAGGGTACAACAACACACCTCTTTGACCGAAAGCGTGTCCATCGCCTCAATCTCAACATTGCGCTGTCACTATCTTCAATTAGTCAGGAGTCCTATTCCTCCCCAGCTCTGCGTGACACTGCTTCCGCTCGCAACCACTTTCCTCCCCTGAAACTCCCCTCAAACCTCAGCTGCTGTATTTGGCACTGTATTCAATTCCCACTCTTCTGGGCAAAGCCCTACAGGGCCTCTGGATCTAAGGTCCTCTCACTGGTGACACGCTAGGCTCCCCTCGTATCCCAAAAGCCTGGCCCACACTATCCTACCCATTCTTCCGCCCCCTTGCCGTACATATCCCTCTCCGTTCCCTCAGTGTGGCAATGCCGCTTCTCCCACTTCTCCCTCCCCAATGCCCACCCTGCCTCCTCCCCAGCAAAGCTGACTCTCGGGCCCCATGCCCGCCGTGCCCGCCTCTTCCTCACCCGGCGATCACGGCCCCGATGAGGTACAGCAGCAACAGGCAAAAGGTGCCCAGGTTCTGCGGGGCCATGGTTCCTCAGTGCCGGCCCCGGTCCCACACACTCCTCACAGCCTCCGCAGCCGCCGCGTCGTCTCGCCAGCGCTCCCGGCCTTGTGAGGCCGCCTCACGCCGGGAGTCTCCTACTTGGTCCGCAAGCAGCTAGCTTGCCCCCCGCCTCTGCCAGTCCACTTCCCGGGAGTCCCAAGTCCCGGTGAGAGAAGCCCCCAGCAAGCGAGGGCCAATCGCTGCCCCGGACATCACACGAGGCCGGCACCTCGGAGCCAATCAGCAGAGTACACTTCACCTCCGAGGCGGTGCGGGTAGCCAGTTAGGCTTCGGAACTGCAGCCGCAGTTCCTGGCCAATTGGAAGAGGAAACGTCAAAGGATCGCGACGCCACAAGAAGCCGCTCAGGCCCGGCTCCCGCGAGTCGAAGAAAACTACGTAAAAGGCAGGGATTGGCGCCAAGTGAAGGCACCGAGATACCCTAAATCTTTCTTATCGACTCCTTGGATTTTTCACCAATCGCGAGACTTTTCTACCAGAACCGACCAATTGGGAGAAGGAGGTTTTAGCTTGGAAGTCTTGAAATTTCCCATTGAAATACATTGAAATTTCACTAGATGCAGGCGCTGAGGGACAGTGGCGGAAGGGGGCGGGGCTGTTACTTCGCGCCGACGCTACTTGGGACACCTCGCTTGGGAGGTCTCACTTTACGGTATCCTGGCAACCCCGTAAGCAGTATCTCGATTTCGTAGAAAAAGAGGTCCGCTTGCTTACAGAAAAGCGACCGTGGAGACAGACTGGCTGAAGCCGAGTTCAGACTTGGTTTCCAGCACTTCAAAGCGGTGAGACCTTCCCCACCCTCCAAGTCCGAGCCTGTTTCTTAAAAAAAAAAAAAAAAAAAAAAAAAAATTAAAGCACTAACTGGCAGTGTTGTGAATTTTTATTGGGGGAAAAAATCTAAATTATGCATAGTAGCGCATATTAAGCACGCAATGAATAAAAACTATTACAGTTACGAGTAGAACTCATTGATTCTCTGTCTTCCCTGGTTTTGTTCATCGCAGTAAATGCACCACCTTGTTGTTTAGGACAAAACTCTTAAGTCTTACTTGATTCCTTTCCTGTATAACCCAGCCAAATCTTTGCCCCTCTCAACTATATCTTTAATCTGTTTACTACATAGTCATTACCACCTTTCGGCCACGACATATCCTCTTAGCTGGGAATGGCCTCCTAACTAACTGATCTGTCTCCACAGTTAACGTCTTAATACAGTATTTTAATATACTCCAAGATTTTTTTTTAATGTTCAGTCATGTTACTTTCTTTTTAAAAAATCTCTAATGGTTTTTAATTTGCACTGAAACTAAAAAGCCAACTCTATGCTAACTCAAAAAGCCTTCAGAAAAGAAAAAAAAGGCTTATTATATGGGCCATACCCTCACCTACCATACACCTTACCTTGATCCAGAAAAACGCCCCCTTCCCTCAATACATCAAGATCTTTCCTGAGGCCTTTGCCCTAGCTATTATTAACCTTTGCCTGAAATACTTCCCTCCCCCAGGGCCTAACATAGGTACTTTTTTTTTTTTTTTTAAACCTGGATATCCTAAATGTCATCAACTCAATCAATCAAAATTAGCCCTACTGAGTCCCTTTTTTACACCACCATGTTTTATTTTTTCCATCCCTGCTTCTGCACTCATGTAAACACAAATGCCAGTCTCATGAAAGCATGAATCTGGACTTCTGTTCACAGCCTGTACAGAACTGCACAAACTGTGCCTGGGAAGTAGTGATCAAATATATTTGAGTAAAACTTGCTTTGTGATCTTCATGTAGCTAGTTTCTTATTCTCCAGGCCTCAGCTCAAATTCAGCACTGCAAAGAAGCCTTCCCTGGTCCTCTCCATTCCATTTTCTGTATTTATTGTTATCTGAAATCACTATTTTAAGTATTTGTTGTAGATTTTCCCTATTAAATGATACACCCCAAGAAAGCAAGGAACTTGCCCGTTTTGTTCATTCCTAGCACTGTGCCAGACACACAGTGGTGCTCAACAAACACTAATTGCTGATGCAGAAAATTGAGGCATACGTTGGGGAAGGGATATAGCTCACTGGCAGAGTGCTTTGTGCATATGGGAGCCCCTGAGTTTGATCCTCAGAACCACAGGGGAGGAAGGAAGAAAAAGAAAGAAAACTCATCACCAATTAGTACCAAATCGCTGAACCTAGTAGATGATGTTACCTGGAGTCCCTTTCAGGAAGATATCTAGTAAGGGAGAGAGGTCACCTAAAAGAGGAACTATTGTATTTTGTGATCTACTTTGACTTTCTTACACCTACATAGGCGATAAATGAAAAGCAAAAATGTTCAGAATTCATGAAATGGTAGCATAAATTGAGTGGTATCTTCTTGGTGGAATCCAAAAACGCTTCCTGAAGACTATAACATGGCAGGGAAGCTGACATGAGAGTTAAGGTGCTAACGCTGAGGAGGTCGAGGTGGTAGAAGGGGATGGCTCCCAATTCAGAGGACCTGGATTTGAATCTTGTCCCATTTCTTGCTGTGTGACCTTGGGGGTGTGTTGCTTTCACCTTTTTATGCCCTAGTCTCATCAGTGAAACAAATGTGCTTAGCTTACAAATGCTCTTGAGAAGACTGGGATAATACAATTAATGTGTTTTACCTAGTGCCCAACCAGTAGTAAGCGACCCACAAATGTAAACTTGCATTATCCTCCCCTCGCGCCCCCCTCCCCCCATCAAACCGGGCTAACCTTAAGAACAGCTATTTGCTGATCAGAATTCTATGGAGCAATGGAAAACTTTATTACTTCTCTGGGTAGAAATGCGCGAAACCAGAAAGCAATGGGTCTAGCTTGGGTTCTTGGATCGTGGACTCCTGGGATTCTGAGTACCCTCATAAGAAATTAAGTTTGTCTTAGACGCGGGAGAAGCAGTTGCCACTCTAGCAACAAGGTCCGCGGGTTCTCAGTGGTGCGAGGTCTTGCGCTTGCGCGATGAGCACGGCGGATATAACGCGCCGCGGAGGGTGAAGGGCGGGCAGGGCGAGCGGAGAGGTGCGGTGGACCGGTTCCTGCTTTGGCAGGTAACTGCTGACAGACTGTCATGGGGAGGGCGGGCTGGCGCTAGGGAGGTTGAACTGGAGGCTGGGCCGCTCGGGCCACGGGCTTAGACTGGGAAGGCTGCCTTAGAGCTCGCTGGGTCTCAGGTCCACTCCTGAGCCGTCAGCTGAATATCTTGTTACCAAATAGGGTGGTTGCGCCCGAGCGGCCCACGCCACATCCTACTCCGGACCTCTGCGGAGATGGGGGCGAAGCCTCTGTACGAGCGCCTTGGGCCCACGCCTGTTTCTCGACCGGAAAACCTTTATCCCAGCGCGTCTCAAGGGAAAGAGCTCCAGTTTTGATGGTTGCGAATATAGCCCTGTCGAATCTCGGGGTTAGAATAAAGGGTTCGTCTTCAGGATCTGGCTTTGATTGCACACTTCTGAAACAGCTCAGTACCTCACGAGCAGCCTGTTTTCACTTTGGAGAGAACTAAGATCTGCCTAATGTACTTTTCATCCTTTAGCTGTGCTTAGAACAACGCCAATCCATTCCCATATCGAACCCAGCCGCCATTTACCCTCCCACACCCTTTTCAGTTCACACCCCTATGTTCCTTCACCTGTTGCTTAAATGGCTTAATGTCTTAAGACTTTTCCTACTGTTCTGGACCCACTCCTTTCCCAGAGATTCTCCCATTCTGGGTTCCCAAAATACGTTTGTAGCTGCACAGTTCTTTAGTCAGACCTGATTTCTAATCCAGGACTGTGAGAACTAAGTGTATGTCCCTTCTCCAAACTTCAGGTTTCTCAACTGAAAATGAAGGAACTCATGTATCACTAGGTGGTTGTGAAGGTGAAAGGAGGTGAAATAGGCAAAATACTTAAAATGCTATCTGGCACATAGTAAGCACTCCATATCAATTTTTTTAATAGTTTCTAAAAGCAGCACAACTTTCTAGAATAAAACGCAAAATAACAGTGAAACATTTTTTACCAGTCATATAAGGAAAGTTTTTTTCTAAATGATGTTAATGCTGAGGAATGCTCAGTGAAGTGGGTTCCATTGGTCAAATGATGGTACAGTTTTAATAGTTAATTTTGAAAACAATAGGAGTGTTATGTCAGAGGCATAGCAATATGTTACTTCATTTCACAATTATACATCTGAAAATCTCTGGGAAATAATTCATAATGCAGAAAATATGCAGAAATATGATAATCAGGGTATTATAATAATGAAAACATTTTAACTTTTTATAACAAATTTTTAATATACACAAAGGTGAAAATGTACATGAGCCCCCATCAGTTCATCGCCCAGCATCAACAATGAGTTACATCCCCAACATTTTTTAGTTTTTATTTTGAGACAGCATCTTACTAAGTTGCTTAGAGCTTTACTAAGTTGCTGAAGCTGGCCTCTAACTTGTGATCTTTCTGCCTTAGCCTCCCAAGTTGCTAGAATTACAGGCGTGTGCCCCTAGATCTGGCTTCATGAAAACTCTTAAGCCTAGTAAGTTTCTAAAAGTAAATGGGAATATATTTGTGGTATTTTAATACAGAATTATATATATTATATTATCAACTATGAAAAACAACATCTAGTCTATAGAAAAAAGATAAGAAGGAAGTACAATAAAATATTGACTAGTTGCCATTGAGTGGTGGTAATGTGGATGATTCCCTCCTTGTGTTTTAAATGTTTTATACATATTCCATAAAATTATCCATCATAGTTATGTAAATAAACAACAAAGTCTAAAAATACTACAACTCAACTGAGCACAATAGAATATGCCAGAGCAGGTTCATTGTAGAGAATAAAGGTGCTTTACTATCTCTTAATCTATCTTATAGCCTATGTTTACATGAGCATTCTTGTTAGCTCCTCATATTAGTGTTTCATATCGAGTTTGTGTGTTCAGCTAACATGTCTAAATGTTAACCAACTGTCCTCTATGTGTAAGTGATTTAACTCTGTGAAATTTTATTCTTGTTTCTAACAATGTTCCCCACCAGAGTAGAGCATAGCTTTCCATGACAGGATGATTTTTCTCTCTTTTTCCTTCTTTTCTTCCTGCCCAGAGCGGGATCCAATCCAGATTTTATCCCTTTACACACTCTTCTGAAACAAATTTCTGATAATTCAAATAAGATAATTTT